TGGATTTTTACCCTTCCCCTGAATCACCGTATTTCTGCTGTACGGGCCAAGGCGGGATGTACGGGTACAGCGAGTCTTTGTTCGTTACGTCCTTTTTTCTCTTTTCTTTTTATCTAATATTTGAGCTCTTAGAAGAATCATGTTTCAAAGTTGATTGCTTGGGACTGTTTTCATTACCAATTTTATTTTTCTTGATCAACAGGTGGTGCTAGAAAAGCCGAATGGCTTCAGTCAAAGTCTCCCGCCTGAGGTAGGTAACCGGCAGGAGAGTGGTCACCACCGCTTAGCCAGGAGGCGGGGAATCCTCCTTCCTGAGCTTTCTGTTTATTGCTTTCTCTCTCTCACGAAATAGGAAAGTAATTTTTACTTGCTGTAGAAATTCAAACACAGGAGGAAAAATGGAAACTCTCCTTGCCCAGTCCCACTCCTTAGTCGGTTTCGTAGCGTGGTGGTTATCACGCTCGCCCGGCCCAGTCCCGCTCCTTGGGAGTATCCACGGTCAACAGACTGAAGTGGGTGATCCTTTTAGAGCGGTGCTCCTCAGCCTCCACGGAAGCCCACTGGAATGGCCTCGGGAGCCTGAGCAGATGCAGTACCTGTGTGCCATCCCTGGAAGCTGTCATCTAACTGGTCTGAGATGTGGCCTGGGCATCAGGTCTTTTAAAAAGCTCTTCAGATAATTCTGATGCTTAGCCAAAGTTGAGCACCAATGTTCTAGAGTGTTTTCTATGCAGACAACCATATTTAAAAGCCATATGTGTGTGTCTATGTATTTTATATATATATATGTATGCATGTATAAATGTATGTATATAATATACATATACTTTTCACAAATACAGGGTGATGATAAATACATTATTTCTTGCTTGCTTTTTTATTTTTTAAACTAGTTTATTATAGCCTTTCCATATTTGTATGTGTAGATCTACCTAATTTTTTAATTAACAGCATAGTATGTGTACAAGTACATAGCTGTATTTTTTTTAAATTTTCCCTCCCAGCTTTATTGAAGTATAACTGACAAACAAACCTAGCTGTACTTTTTAAAAAATGACACTTGTTATATTTTTTGTGGTTATATAATAACACAAGACATTTCTATTGTACAAAATTAGGGGATTTCAGAAACACAGAAAAGTGACAAAAGAGAAAAATAACCAATTGTAATCTATGCAAAGAAAAACCAATCTGGTGGAATTTCCTTTGTTTTTCCTTCAATGAGACTATGTATTTATAATATTGAGATTAGACCTTATTATACAGCATTTCTTTGTATGTGTGTCTTTGCTTGGGCAGGTATTTTTTGGATTGGGTTTGTTTGGCCCTCAGGTATAGAGCTGAATCAGACCTTCCCATCAGTTCAGGGCTCATTAACAGCATTGGTCCCATAAAGGCTTTCACTGGATTTACTTTTTTTTTTTTGTCCCCACCACCAAAACGCAGTCACTCTAACATATTCAATATGATTTAAATATGCCTATTAGATATTTTTTTAAATTTTCTTACTGGACTTGAGCTGTATTTCTGTTTTTTCCTTTTTTAGCCCACACCGTGTTTTTAGGATCTGCCTACATTGCTTTGTTAAAATCTAGTTTGTTATCTCTAGCTCCCACATGTAAAGTTTTTGAACTCCCTTTTTTCTCTTCATACTATATCATGAAATTTTCCTGTGTCATTAAATACCCTTATGAGAACATCATCTGGAATAAGCACGTAACAGCTGTGCTCCGGGAGCCTTTTAAGTCGTTCTCCCCTGCCCAGCAGCGGAGGCGCGGGTGTAGGGGACCTGACCGCAGAGCTTATCAGCGACTGCATTCAGAAGGTTGTGGTTCCACCCACTCACTTTAGATGTGCAGTTTGGATTTTTCCCTTCCCCTGAATCACCGTATTTGGCAAACATGCTGTTGGCAACAAGTTATTATAACACCTGGTTTATCTGCTCCACCTTCCTTCTCACAAGCTCCAAGCCCTACCGGATATTATCTTACTTAGTTTTGAGACAGCCTGTAAGGCAGGGCGTGGTCAGGAGTCGCCTCACTGCTGCCCAGGTTGAGAAAGAAGGCCCATGGGACTCTGATAATGCAGCACCTGGGACCCCGTCCCCTCCTTCCATCTGAGCTCTGTGCCATGGATGGAAGGCGCTGCTGCTTCCCACTGAGCAAGGCAGGGAGAGACCGTGTCACACTCACAGGGAGCTGGTAGCTGTAAGGCGGCAGGGGTGGGGCCGAGACCCCACATGTCAGCTCAGCCCTAACCACCCCACCAGGCCACGATTGGGTGTGTCTGGGGAGAGACTCACAGTAACCTCAGTGAGGCACCTTTTCCTACATCGAAGTGGGTTCCTGGACTTACTGGGTGCTTTTGCCCTAAACCTGCCCGTCTGTCAGTAACTCTTTATCTGCTGATCTGTATGCTAGGTGCAGAGAGCAACAAAAGACATGCCTTGGGGACGCACCCCTTGTGATGAGTGTGGCACAGTCCCTGCCCTTGGGGAACTGCGGTCCAAAGGGGAACGTGGTCCCTGCTCTCAGAGAACTCTAGTCTGTTGGAAGCAGGACACACACACACACACACACACACACATAAGGACGGCATAAACATGTTGATTCATGCATAAAGGTTGCGGTGTGTCCTAAGATAATGAGGTGATTGGAAGCTAGTTGAGTTCTTTAGGATGTGAAGAGAGAATGTCTTCATATGAATAACTCAGAACTCCTGGGTGCCTAAGACTGACTGACTTTCCTCTTGTGTGATGTGAATTCTTTTGTGAGGGTGGTCTGGACAAAAAGGTCCAAGCAAGTGTGTGTTGTGGGAGGACCTTCTGTTACAAGTCACGAATGTGGTGGCTTCACTGTCCCTTCCCTGCTTGGGCTGTAGGTGGATACTTGTGTAAACGAAGATGTCGAGAGCTTGAAGAAGACTGTGCAGGACTTGCTTGTCAAGCTGCAGGAGGCTGAGCAGCAGCGCCAGTCAGACCGTGCGGGTTTTGAGGTGAGATGTGGGATTTGGGGAGAGGGTGCCCTGAGGGTTGGGCCACTGGATGGCTGGATGCCATCAACTGGGAAGGCTAGGCCTTGAGGCCTGGGGGCAATTCCTGTCTGCTTTACTCTTTCCTGGATATTTATAGCTTTGCTGTCCAAGGCTAGCCCACAGTTCGAAGGTCAGCTTTCGAGCCTCTGCCCTCCTGGAGTCGAGTGGTGGCGCTGGTCTGGGATGGCAAGTAATTCAGAAGCCCTTTCTGTAAGTACTGTGGTCAGAACTACTGGGCTCTAAGCACTGTGCAGGCAGGGAACATTGCCATCAAGTTCACCGCTGCATCCCCAGTGTCTGGGACAATACCTGGCTTCAGGGGGGGCCTCTGAGGTGTGGACCGGATGAGTAGATGAATCGGTGTGGTCCTAGGAAGAACTGTGCCGGTGGAATCAGGGGACTTTAAATCCAGTCTTGGCTACACTACACAGAGCTCTGTGATCTTGCGTATCTCAATTATTGTTATAAAAGTAATACTAGATTATTATAGAAGGTTAAAAGAATACAAAATAGAAGGTCTCCCAGTATTAAAAGTGTGTGAGGTCTTCCATGCTTCCCAGAAAATTCTTGGAGTATAAGATGAGGGACACCAGGCAAACTCGGGGCAGTTTTCTTAACTGCTCGATGTGAGAGTAAGAGTCTGTTACCTGCTATTGTTCACCCCCACATAAAGTACTTTCTAGGTCATAAATGTGTGATGATAGGCGTCTGCCCTGCCCAGGCTTGCCAGGGGCTGGTGGAAAGGGGAGTCCCAGCCTGAAGTCTTCTCTTTCATAGACTCAGAGAATTTTTGAGAAGTGTTTTGAGGGTGAGGACCAAGGGCAGTGAGAATGACCAGCTGTCTCAAGAGTACTTGAAGTCTTACTTGAGCAAGTGATTTAACCTCCCTAACCATCAGTTTCAACTTTTATAAAAAGGGGTCATGAATTTCACAAGATTGTTGTGTGGATTGAGTGAGGTAATATGTGTAAAGATATTTATTACTTAGAAGGGTTTAGAAATAAAAAATATGCTGTATTTTTCTTAGTGATCAGTTTCACAAGTGGGTTTTCCTAAATAATTTGAACTTAGGGTAATACTAGGATTAGTCTGGGCTCAGAACAAAGTAGCCGTGCAGTAAAGGAGTTGGTCGTGTCTACTTCAGATTCCACAACTTGGACGATTTAATTGCTGATGAATGAGCTCAGCTGTTGTCTGCCTTCTTGGAGCAGAATGGGAGGAAGGGGAGGCTGAGGCTGTAGCACTGACTAGACTGAAACTTTGGGAGGAAATGTCTTTACCAAGAGGCATTGTAAAGTGCAGTGGTTGGTTTTGTCAGCACCCAGAGGGCTCCGCCAGCCCTGGGTTTCAAAGCTTGAGCGAAAGTGTACTGAGTAATAAAAAGCCCAGGGCTTGAAGGGCCCTGACAGCTGTGAACCATGAGCCCATGGCTTCTTATGAGGGGCTGCCCTTTAAGCCATGGCACGTAGCACCCACCTGTGGTAGGAGACGCTCCTCGCTCCTCAGGTTGCTCCCACTATTGGGGTAGGTTGCCACACCCTCTTATGATTAAGTGGTTCCCTTAGGGCAGGACTGGCTGGAGCTATGGGACAGCTGTGGCAGGGGAGTGTTTTTTATTTTTTTTCCCTCTGTGATTCTACAGCTGGGTGTGAGGATGGCCCATGGCCCGTTAATGCTACGCTCCGAGCACACATCATCCTGGGTGCAGTGTTTATATACAGAAATGAGAGGCCTGTGTGTACGTTCCTGCCCATGGGGCTGGCCTGTTCCAGCCTAATCTGGGATGTTTGAAGGCTTTTCTCAGTCTCTCCTAGGAATTAGACTTTCTGGTCTCCTTTTCTGAACCTAGAGGGTGGGAAGGGTAAGGTTGTCAGTTACCATGAAGACAACCTGCCGTGAAGCGTACGTTTCTCGTCCTGCCGGCTCCTGGCCTTCAGGAAGGATTTGCAGCGAGTTTGCTCCGGACAGGGCTGGTGCGCAGCATGGACACGTCTCATCACACCTCATCCTGTGCTTTACTTTCTCCTCCCTGATAATGACTTTGGCGGGAGCCAGACAAACTGGTTGCTGGTATTCTGTTTTACCGGGGCTGGTTAGGCTTTCCGAAGGTCACCTGGATTCTTTTTTAGTAATTGATTGAGGAGTCAGTGTGGGGTAACTGGGAAGCATTGAAATGGATGAAGTAACCGGGTTCTAGCACTGGTTCTGCATTCACTGGCTGTGTAGTCTTGAATAGGTCAGTTGATCTTTAGGTGTGAAAGGAGAGGGTTGGACTAGATGAACGTTAATTCCATTCATGACGTTACGGAGCAGTGACCGTGTGCTGGGTGCTGGGCTGCACTCTGGAAAGGTCATGGTGCCCAAGGTCTCCGCCGTCAGAAACGGATGGTTGCCTGGGGGACGCACACAGTGACCAGGCAGAATCGGCTCAGTGCTGTGAGAGGGAAGGGCTGTGTGTCCTCTGTGGCCGCACAGAGGAAGCTCAGGCTCCCTGGAGGAAGGGGTGTCTAAGCTGGGGTCTGAAGGGTAATTAGGAGTTGGCAAAATGCATATGGGAGGAAAGGAGGCAAGTTCTTACTTTTCTTCACTCTCAATTCTGTTTCTGTTCTTTTCAAATTGGCTTGCCTTGTTTGACAAAGAGCAGGTTCTTCCTGGTGTCTAGCGGCCCTTTCAGATGCCTCACTTGCTTGAAGTGAGGGCGAGGAGGAGGGGGAGGCAGAAGAAAGAGTGTTGGAGATATCCTTTCCTGGATTCTTCACGTTTGCACTGGGAGGAAAGCCGCAACACTGGGTGAAGCTTGGGTGGCACTGGAGGGCTGCTGGGGATGCTGGAGAATCAGCCACCTGGAAAGTGGAAAGTCTGTGGGTTCCAGGTGTCACTCTAAAGTAGAGCTCAACTACTGTGGAGAACAGTATGGAGGCTCCTTAAAAAATTAAAAATATGGTCCAGCAATCCCACTCCTGGGCATATATCTGGAGAAAACTCTAATTCAAAAAGATACATGCAGCCCAATGTTTATAGCAGCACTTTTTATAATAGCCAAGACCTGAAAGCAACCTAAATGTCCGTCAACAGATGACTGGATAAAGAAAATGTAGTGTGTGTGTGTGTGTGTGTGTGTGTGTGTGTGTGTGTGTGTGTGGTGTGTGAAATACTACTCAGCCATAAAAAGGAATGAAATCATGCCATTTGTAGCAACATGAATGGACCTAGAAATTATCATACTAAGTGAAGTAAATCAGACAGAGAAAGACAAATATCCTATGGATATCACTTATATGTGGAATCTAAAAAAATGACACAAACTTATTTACAAAACAGGAGACTCACAGACATAGAAAACAAACTTATGGTTACCGAGGGGAAGGGAAGAGGGCAGGATAAACTGGGAGTTTGGGATTGGCATATACAAACTACTCGGTATGGAATAAACAACAAGGTCCTAAGGTATAGCACAGGAAACTATATTTAATGGCTTGTAGTAACCTGTAATGAGAGAGAATATGTGTATATGTGTATATGCCTAAGTGAATCACTGTGCTGTACACTGGAAACTAATATAACATTGTAAATCAACTATACTTCAATAAAATTTTTTTTAGAACCCAAAAAACAGAACAAAAGAAAAACAACAACAAAAAAAGCAGGGCTCGATCAGCTGGAAGTGGAGTTAACCTGCTGCTTCCCGAGCGGGCGATGGAGGTGTACTTTTCAGGCTTACCTCTCTTTTCCCATCACCGCACCCAGGCTCCTGGGTTCTTTTCTAAGGCTTTTATCCATGTTCCCCGCCACCCGCCATGTTCCCCACCCACACTTAACACATCCCCATCCTGTGTCACAGGTCACACTCAGCCGGTACCAGAGAGAAGCAGAGCAGAGTCACGCAGCCCTCCAGAGAGCGGAAGACAGAGTGGAGCAGAAGGAGGCAGAAGTCGGGGAGCTGCAGAGGCGCTTGCTGGGAATGGAGACGGTAATGTCGGAGCCTTGCTGATCAGCACCCAGGCTCCTGGGCAGGGAGGCACCCCGGGACGGACTGAGATGGTTGCAGAGACTCTCCTTCTCTGAGCAGCTCCAGAAAAGCACGCTTCACAGCTTCCTTTGGCAAATACCTTCCAGTACCTTTTAGCCCTTAAGGAATGGGAAGGTCTTCTCTATCCCACTAGCCCTTGATGCCTAGAGTTGAACCCATTTCTATTTTAGGCGGTTCCTGCGCAGCTGCCCTTTGGCTTTGGCAGACAGCTCTCAGGGAGCCACTCAGCCTGGTTTCTCGGGGCTTGGTAGCCATAGCTGGCAGGTGGGCCTGGGTAATGCAGGGCCAGCCTCTCCCTCCGGGCAGCTGGGTGAGGCTGAGAAGGTTCTGTGTGCTGAGGGTGGGAAGGGTTGTCCCTAACAGGGGAGGGCGCCCCATCAAACCAGCTTGGCCTGCTGCTCGTTGGCAGCTGTCCCACGCCTAGTGCCCATTTCACCCCAGCGCAGAAACAGTTGCCTTCTCCTCATCTGAGATTTTTCTTTCCCTTGGTCCCTTCAGGAGCATCAGGCCTTACTGACGAAGGTCAAGGAAGGGGAGACAGCCCTGGAGGAACTTCGGAGCAAGAATGGTGACTGCCAAGTAGAACAAGAAAGGTAAGGGCCCTTGTTCGCCGTGGAGTTGGGGTGCAGGGAGGCCACAGACCTGGGGAGGGAGCTGGTGCTGATGTCAGATCTTCCAGCTCTGACTCACTGTGTGCCTGCTCGGGGTGGGGCCCTGCCCATGGAGATACTGTCTGGGAGACTGCCATCTCCGAGGAGTTCATCTTCCGTGGAGTAACAACCCAAAGAAAAGGCTCTTACAGTGTCAGAGCCAGAGTCAGTGGGAGCTGGTGAAGCGTCTGCCATCATGGTACATCGTTGTATGGTTGTTACACTGGATGTGGAAGTGGCAATATTCCACCATAGTTTACTCCCCTCAAACCAAAAGCAGCTCTAAACTACCTGAGGGAAAAATCGAATAACTTCCTCACATACCGTGCTAATGAAAATGACAGTGAGCACCTTCGTGGAGAGATCCTTAACCTGCTTTCATCTGAAACGACCCAAACACTGAGACCCACCTGTCAGTGGTGGCACACAGGGGATCGCTGAGATCCTTTCTACTCCAGAGTTAGAGTGGTTTGCAGATTCCTCTGGTCAGAGGGGATCAGAGACCCCAGACCAGTGAAACCTACAGAGCAAAGATTGAGCCGCTCTTAGACCTTCAAGAATTTAGAAGTCCTTTATGCTGTTGGCAATTAATTTATAAGATCTCAAGTGGTTAATCACATTTAACATTAGCATATTGGTCTGGTCTTTGTTGTATAAGTTGGACCTTTCTAAGTTCAGCAGACGTTACCTGGAGGGCCTTCAAAAGAATTCCAAGATGAACAGACATGATCCTTGCCTTCTTGGACCCTTCAGTCTCCTGGGGGCATTTTCTCTGCTTTGGGATAAACTCGATCGAGGCCTGCCTGACATGGAAAATGCAGACATCTTATTGTAGTGTTCCTTCAGGCTCAGTTTCATGGCAGAATTGCTGTTAAGTTACTCAGCTCCCTCCTCAGTGGTGGAAGTCCTCACGGGCAGGTGACCAAGAGGAAGGAGCAAGAGAAACAAAAAAGAGCAGATAATCCAAAAACTGAGACTTGGGAATGGCAAGTGGTAGCTATGCATCATAAATGCTGACTTTCTAAATAAAAGGAGACTGAGAAGTGGGGCACCAGAGAGCTGAGGATGGAAACTTAGAATGTTTGAAGCTTAGGAAGGATGAGTTGGGGGGCTCAGATTGTGTAGTCTCCTATGCCGAGTACCACCCACCTTCTAGCAGCAGGCACTGGTCTGCTTCCTCAGGCAGAACCAGACAGTAATGGGTACCAGCAATCCTTCAGAGCTCTGAGCTCTGGGGCACTCTCCTTGGCCACCTGACCTTTGGAGATCTTGACCAGTTTGCTTAGAAGATGCAAAGGTAACAGCAGTGTCTGGAAATTGGGAGACTCAGAAACAGACTTGTGTGAAGAGGCTTTAAGGGTCCTCAAATCTATCTCCCTCTTGATATAAAATCCCTGCCAGCAGCGAGATGGTCTTGTGTATTGTATTCCCAGCTCCTACCTGAATGAGGCTGTCCACTTTCTGACAACTTTAATACTGAGAAAGTCTTTCCTGTGTTAAGAACTGCTTCCTTGGAACATCTACCCATTGGCTCTAGTTTTACCTGTAGGGCTCTCCAGAATGACTTATCCTTTCTAACCTTCTGAGCCTCAGTTCCCTCATTTGGACTAGGTGGTCTCTAGGGATGCTTCTGATGTGGTGTTCTGAGGTATCCCGCCACCCACTCCTCACAGCAGACCACTGGGGAATCACACCTGATCAAGACCCCCCCGAGCCCAAGGCCCTGGCTGAGACTGGGTAGAGAAAGCATCGTTTCCCCTTGCCTCAGCTTCTGGTCTCAATCCCCAGGGCTGCGAGCCTGGAAAAGGAAGTGGCTGGGTTGCGGGAGAAGATCCACCACTTGGATGACATGCTTAAAAGCCAGCAGCGGAAAGTCCGGCAAATGATAGAGCAGGTAGGTGGGGTCAGATCTTCCCCCGCTTTGGGTTCCCCCTCTGGAAGTCGCTGCGTTGAGTCTAGCCCTGTTTTCCTGTCAGGTCTATATCTTTATTTATTTATTCTCTTGAGAATCTTGGCTTATGTCCATAAGTGTCCCATAAAACATTTATAGCTACTGCTGACTGGGATTGGGTGGCTGGGATTTGCTCTTCTCCCATCTTTCCCCTACATTTTTGGTCATTTTCCTTGTGCTTTCCCGTGGGACAAGAAGGGAAACTTAGTCTCTTACACTTTGAAGGGTGCCGGCAAATGGATAATTAAGTCGCAATAAACTCACTTATCTGTGTGTAGATGATCAACTTTTGCACCTCATGGCAGATTTCTGTGCCTTCCCCTGCCCGAGCTTTAGGGTAGCGTATGGTATCATATCAAAATATGACGTTTTGTAGAATTGTTTTGAGAACTTCAGACCCCCTAATCGGGAGGGCATCGTTGCTACACGTCAGCTCCAGGAGGGCTGGGTTTTGTCTGTCAGGTTCATGGGGTTTGTAGAACAGGGCCTGTCATACAGTAGCACTCAATTAATATTTCTTCAATGAATACATAATTTGTATTTCCCAAAGTCAAATGGAATGGTTTCTGGAATCAACCATTATTTTGGACTATCAGGGTGGTGTTCCCCTCACACCCCCTGCCCCCCACGCCCGGGATAAGCAAGAGTTTAACACTGATTGAAATGGGGCATTTACAGACAAGCTGAGCATATCTCGCAAGCGGTGCAAAGCTCTGCCCTTTGTCTCTGCTGGCTCCCGCGACGGTGGGGCGAAGTTTGATGAGTGTGTCATGAGTCATTTCACAGTGAGCTCCGGTGTCTCCCATGTCTTTGCAGCTCCAGAATTCAAAAGCTGTGATCCAGTCAAAGGACACCGCCATCCAGGAGCTCAAAGAGAAAATCGCCTACCTGGAGGCTGAGGTGTGTGCTCTGGGCAGCCCTGGGAAGGGAGCAGACGCTGGAAGAAAAGCCTGGATGTGAGGGAGGGGGAGATTCTGGAGGGGGGCTTGGTCCTGTCTAGCTGCTGCACAGAAGTGAGTATCTGGGGTGCTTGGTTGATCTTCATTTCAGCTGAGTAAACGTTTTCTGAGAACCTTCACGGAGTGGCAGACAATGGTAAGGCCTGTCCCTGCTCTGAAGGGATATATCCTCTTGGGGCGAGCCCGCGCCGTGGCGGCATGGAGGTCGCCCCTTCATTCTGGCTGTGTGGCCTTAACAGGGGCTCTGACAGTGGAGCTGGGCTTTGAAGGATGAGGCCTTCTGCAGGGGGCATCCTTTGCATGACAAAGGCGATGGGCTGTTGTTCTGGGTCTAGCTTCCGCTGTACCTCAGGGCCCTTCCTGTCCATTGACTGACTACCTGAGGTTGCTTTGCAAGCATTGTGTGAAGATCCCAGGTAGCGAGGGAGCTAAAAGGAAACAGGAGACAGGGTTGTTCATCTCCAGAGAGTTTGTAGTCTAGACTTAGAGATAAAATACATTTTAAAAATCACCTAAGAATACTTTATAGAAAAGCATATCGACGAACAGAAGTAAATATCTCAACTGACTATAGGAAATTATTTGCAGTAATTGTATAGCGATCAGTGTCGCACAGAGTTCTTGAGAGAACACCTCCTCGGGGGAGGAGACTGGAGAGAGAGCAGCCTGGAGTGGGGAGGATGTGGGGAGAGGGCGTCCTGGTGGTGGCACGCACGATAGGGGTGGGGGTGACAGCAGCACAAACACAGCGGTGGAGAGACCAGAACGAGCCTGTTCAATGTGACAAAAGGCAAGGTAGAAAAAGGCCAGCTCTAACCCCGTAACCTGCGTTAACAGAATTTAGAGATGCACGACCGGATGGAACACCTGATAGAGAAGCAGATCAGTTACGGCAACTTCAGCACCCAGAACCGGGCCAAGACTGAGAACCCGAGCAGGTGGGTTGTTGTGCGCGGAGCTGGGCCCAGGTGGGAAGCGAAGGAGAGACGGGCAGAGGAGCCATGGGAAGGGAACGTTTAGTGCTGAGGCCAGGACGAGGCTCTTCTAAATCCAGCTTTATTCTCCCAGTCTCTAATCAGACCCATTCTCCACCTGAACCATTTTCTAACCAGATTAGGGTAGAGCCTGATGCCAAAACCCCACGGAGGCCCAGGAAAGGCTGCTAGAGGTGCATGAACCCCCTGACACGGCAGCAACAATCGTGAAAATGCAGTGAGCGCGTATTTCTAGGGAGGGCCTTTTGTTCCCAAGAGATTCACAAAAAGGTCCAAGACTTTGAAAAACTCAAGAATCACAGTCACAGCCACCCCTCAGCTGTTCAACCGCGCCCTCTCTTTTCACCTGCCAGCAGACAAAAGTGCCTCTCCCCTAACCCTCTCTTAGACGGCGCTGACAGTTACTGTTTCCGAGCATTAGAACCAAGAGATCAGCTGACCCTGAAGTGTAGAATCAGGAGGCAGACTGGAGGGGCGTTTTTCTTTTTTTTAATCCAACAGTCTCATTATAAAAATAACCAGAATGTGTGCAGCAGCAGAATTGGGAAGGATGCTGCCTGACTTCTGCCAGAGTGGGCAGCCCTGCTTCCCCACGGCCCTGCAGGGGCAGTCAGCCGCGCAGGGAGCCTCGGGGCGAGGTAGCAGGCAGAGCTCTGTCTGGGAGGCCTGGCCTTGGCTCGTTCTGTCCACTCTGAGCACCAACCACCCCCGCCTCCACCACCATCATGATAAATAGCTCAGATCAGGTCTCCCAGCACTGGGTATCCTCCCCGCCCTGCTCTTAGGTCCCCAGTGGGACAAACAGTGAAAGGTGGGCAACAACACAGCACTCAGCCTTTCCAACTTCCTTTTCAGCGTTAGGATAGCCAAGCCCCCCAGCCCTAAGCCCATGCCTCTCATCCGAGTGGTGGAAACATGAGCTGAAGAAGGAGCCAGACGCCGCCGTGGTTGCCACCTCTGCAGAGGAGCCCACCACCCCTGGAGGCTGCTGGCCCTGACTCTGACCTCCCAACTGCTCCCTGGCTGCACCCCGGCTTGGGGTTCATGTGTCCCGCCGGTTCCAGATGCCTGTCCTCTGCACGCTGGGCAGACGGAGGATGACGCCCCTCTGGACACTGCGGCCTTTGGAGCCAGGGCAGTATCCTTGTTTCCGTAGTTACTGTTTCTCTCTGTAGCAGGGCCTCCCTTCTGTTATAGACTGGAGTTCGGCTGCCCCAGAAGCCAGGTCCTCAGCCGGAGGACCTCAGTGGCCCTAGGAGCTGGAAGCACAGATGTCCAAAGTGATTGGAGAGTGTCCCCGGGGAACGAAGTTCCTCCCATAAACACAGATCAGTTCTTAGCAACAAACTGTTTTTCTACTTGCTCCACCCTCAGCCCATGCTGACCTGGGGCCTCTTCCAGATAGACAGTGGGGCTACCTGTCATGGCGTGGTCAGAGTCGATGAACCTTAACTTCAACTGGACGGGCTTGCCTTTTGGTGGTGGCGGGGGGGGGTGTGTCCTTCAGGGAGTAGCTCTTAGCAGAAAGAGTCTCTAAGGCCACAGACAGTGAGTCCGACTTCTCTCTGCAGTGAAGACTCCCAGAATCTTCTTAGGGTTTTCCCCCAAGTTGCAGTCTTCTTGACTCAGAGCCAAAAACTGTTTTCACTGGGTTACATCCATCTCAGCAAAACTCACTTGGTATTTATTTTGCTAAGTTATTGGTGGTTTTGCTTACATCTCACAGCTGATTTAATACCAGAGAGCTACAGCCTTCTCTTGCGGTGTTTGGACTTGCCCCACCCTGGGAAGAGTGTTCCCGCTGGACTTGTTGACTTCAGAATGGCATTGTTATAAATCTTTTTCTCTCTTTCCTCTGCCTGCTTCTTTTCCCTTCCTCCTCCAAACCTGCTCGGTACCTCAGAAAGGCAAGCTTATTTGCCCGGAGGTATTGGGGTCTGAGTGTATGTTGTTTGAGCGAAGAAGGCAGTCAGGAGGGATGGAATTCTTCCCTAAACCTTCTGCACCCCCACACTCCACAGTCTGTTGTCCTGGCTCTGAAGGAACCTGCCCCTCATCGTGTTTTCTTTAGGGCCCTTCCGGCAGCCTCAAGAAGGAGATAAGCATCAGAATGTGGTATTATAGGATACAAGAAAATGCAAAATAAACATGGATTAAGTTTTTCGGTTCTGGGGGGAGGGTATAGCTCAGCGGTAGAGTGCATGCTTAGCATGCACCAGGTCCTGGGTTCAGTCCCGGTACCTCCATTAAAAATAAATAATGATAAACCTAATTACCTCCCACCTCCAGGAAAAGCAATGTATAAATTTTTTTAAAAGTCTTTAGGTTCTGCTTGGCTCAAAACCAGAAGCCTGAAGTCTGTGGTGTTTGCATCCGGCTGGGCTCGCGTGCTGGCTTTGTCCCGAATGCTGTTCCGGTGTTCACGCCGTCCTTTCCATCTGTACAGCGGGAGGGTGGGACCCGATCATCTCCACAGGCCCTTCCAGCTCTGGTAGTCTTTCCTGTGGCATATTCTCTGGATGGTGAATTTAATAAATTATGTTAATGTGTCTCCTTGTGCGCCTGGCTTGGTTTCTGTTCACTTTTCAGGGGACGATGAAAGAACATAATTTTGGGCACCCTGTTGTCCACACCTGGGAGGTGTGGAGGCACCTCAAACACTATGATATGAGGACTCTGTGGCATTCAGAGGAGTTAGAATGTCCCTGTTAAGCAGCTGAGCTCTGTGGTCCGAGTCCTTGTGTAGGAGGTAGCCCCTAACTTTTTAGCTTTGACCCTGCCCGGGGTGGCGGCCTTGTGGGATCCCTACGCTTGGCCACTGTGTGTCCTCTCAGTTGGAAGAGAACTGGCCAGAGGAAAGGTCCTGTGATTACTTAAGAGATTTACCAATCAGCACTGGAGGTAGATGACTAACTCCACATCCTTTGCAGAAATGAATAGTACCCTGGAAATGCTGACTGCAGCTGTTGGAGGGTTTAGTTTTTGGCTATCTCTGGGCATCATTCAATTAGTCCAATGGTCTTTTCTTTGTTTCTCTCTTTCTTTCTGCCAAAAATGTTGTTGACTGCAGGGCCCAACGAGGACATAGCTAAATTTACACAAATCTTCCCCGGACCAAAGAAACTAGAAATGCAAGCCCTGAACCCCGGGCCCCACTTCCTTTCTAAGCCCCTTTTTCCTTCAATCAAAGGAATGTAAGCTTTTCTCCTGCGACTTTTCTTCCCCTTTCTCCTGCTTCTCAGGTAATTCACACCCTAGGCTTCAGAATGTACCAGAAACCTCCTTCCATTCCAGACCTGGGTTTGGCCTCTGACGGCCTGGGTTCTCTTCTTTCTCTGGCAGTCTTGCTCGGCAGGGGTGTATCTGGACTGCTTGTTCTCAGAATATTAAGAGGGTGGAAGCAGGGTGGGGTTGCCTCGGGGGCCAGGAAGACTGCAAGGCTGGAAGAAGACAGAAGTGAGTGTGCTGCCATTCAGGGAAGGGAGGCTCTCCACTGGGCCCTGAGGACTTGGTGGGATGAGCAGAGATTCCAGCCGGAGATAACGAACATTCTGGAGATGAGAACTAGAGCTCTAACCGATTCCTTGGACCAGAACATGCCTCTCGGGTGTATTTCCCTTAGTTTAGTTGTACAACGGCTGGAAGGAACAGGGGCTCAGGGGGGTCTCTGGGAAAAGAAAGTGGTCACTGGAAAGGTAGTTTAGATCTTGGCAACCTTTTCAATTAGAGACGGAGGATGGGGACGGGAGAGTGAGAGAGAGCCCCGGGCCTGAGAAAGGGCGTGGTGAGAAGCTGCTCCTGACTTCAGCCGTCTGTTTATTGCCTGTGTTATGTCATTTGTCAGCCAACTCCTCTGTGCTCCGTGAATATGTTGTGGAGGGAAGATGGAGTCTGACTCCCTGGGACCTTTGCCATGAAGGCCTGTTTCTTTGAGCTGGGTGTTGAGAGCTGCCCGGACACGCAGCTGTCATCACCAGCCTCCTGTAAACTCAGAGCGTCACCCCAACGTGGGGAAGCCTGCAGGAGCGCTCCTTGCCTCCTGAAAAACTGCCCCAGTCCTCCCACCTCTTCATCTGTCCCCTCCCTGGATGGAAAAAAGCCTGATAGGGACATGGTATTTCAACCAAATGCTGCATTGGACCTTTTATTTGAACAGAGTTTCTATAGCCAAAAATTGATTGGCTCACTTTCGTCTCTAGTTAAAAAAACCCCTTGTACTGTGAAGTGTTCCAAGATGTATTCTGGAAAGATGTTCTCACGTGAGATGGCTTAAAGCAACTTAATTTGAGTGAGGAGGGTAATATCCCTTGGGGTAGAGAAGCAACTTTCTGTCTTTAATCAGCTCTTCGATGTGTGTTGCTGTGGTTTTTGTGGGGCCTCTGCTCATCTTCTGGGCTCCCTCATTCCTCAGTGCCAAGCGGAGCAGAGCCTGGGCCTGAGTTTGCTCAGGCTCTGACCCAACAGCAGATGTTAGCCTAGGGCCCTTGGCCTCTTTTCCACGCTTCGATTTAGGACTCCACTTTGCAAGGAGAAATTGTTTCCTGCCTTCCCTGCCCCAGTTCTAAGAGCCATGGCCTTGAAACTCAAAGTGGGAGACCTAAATATTCTCTGGCCCCTCTTTCTCCAAGGAAAATCCTTATCCAGGCTGAGGCTGAAGGAGATGCTTCTTAAAAGGTGAGTGATTTCTAGCTCTGTGTGCTCTGTGGATTGGCAGCGAGACCTACTTTGAATTCTAAAATGTCTCTGGCCTTTCTGCTGGAATCTCTCTTTCCCTGGAGCCCTCTGGGACATGGGACTGAGGGTAGATGGTGGCAGGATAATTCACTTCCTGACAGGGTGTTGGTCGCCAAGTCTTAGACCACAGGATCTCAGACAGCAGAGGAGAAGGAAGTCACTTGTCCTCATGACTTAATCTGCCAGTTCAGTGCCTTTCCTCCGTGTCACTAGTGTGCTAGGCCAAACTCATGTATGTCTGCAGGTGTCTGGGGATCTTTATACTCTTTTATATCCATTTATTTGTGTTTGGTTTTGTTTTGTTTCGGGCGTAATTAATTTCTTCTTCTTCTTATTTTGCTTAATGGTGGTACTGAGGACTGAACCCACGACCTCATGCATGCTAAGTCGGCACTCTACCACTGAGCTAGCCCCTCCCCCCAGGTGTGTTTGTGTTTGAATTAGCCTGCTATGTAAAATATATGATGGTGGGGGAAAATTGGAAAAACATTGATATTTAGGAAAAACTGTTTCCACCTGTGTGTCTCCCTTACTACGTACCCAGAACACTTTTGACACTTGTGGTCATCGAATGTGTGGGGGTTTTCCTCACACCAAGCAATTCTGCAACACCAACTGGGTGTCCTATCATTTAACTCAATTCTGACACCATCTACCTGGAGATAAGTTTAAGGGCTCAATCCCAAGAGGCTGCTCGCCTACCCTGACCTTGAGATACCAGTTGCAAGTCGTAGGTCCCTAGTTGGAGTTTTGTCTGACTTGGCTACAAACTGGAGGTTCCCACAATCTCCTCCTTGGGTTTGAATTAATTTGCTGGAGAGGCTCAGAGAACTCAGGGAAACACCTCCTTACCTTTACCAATTTATTAAAGGATATGATAAAGGATGAACAGCCAGATGAAGAGATCCATAGGGCGAGGGCTGGGAGGGTCCTGAGCACAGGGAGGGTCCTGAGCGCAGGAACTTCAGCCCCCGGGGAATTGGGGTGCGTCACCCTCCCCGTATGAAGATGTGTCGCGCACCTGGAAGCTCTCCGATCCCCATCTATTGGGATTTTATGGAGTCTTCCTCCATTACGTAGGTGTAATCAATCGTGAACTCCAGTCCTAGCCCCTCTCCCCTCTCTGGAGGAATCGGGGGCGGGGCTGAAGAATCCAAGCTTTTAATCATGGCTTAGTCTTTCTGGTGACCAGTGCCCATCCAGGACCCCCGCCCCAGAGTCACCTCATAACAAAAGATGCTCCCAGTTCTCTTATCACTTAGGAAATTACAAGGCTTTTAGGAGTGCTGTGCCAGGAATATGTTTTCTATTATCTCATGCTGGTCTATAGATGTATCTCTTTGGACTCCTAATCTCAGGGTCAGGAGGACTGAAATTGACTTCCTTCGAAACTTCCCTTTCCAACCTCTCATACTTAGTGGAGAGAATCACTCTCTTCAGGCTAGAGATTTTAAAGCTACCTTTGATTCCCCTTTCCATTTCTTTATCCCTTAAAATACCCAGTTTGTCAACATGTCCGGATGTTTCTTCGCCTCTTTCCCTGTGCTCAGCCTCGTCCATCTCTTTAAGCCTGGGTTACCACAGAAGCCAGTCCTCACCGGTCCCCCACCTCTAGTCTACCCTGCCCCAAATCCCCCCTCCTCACCAAGGTCATTTGAGTCTTTCTCACATACTGCTTTCATCCTGTCAGTTGGGGTTATTTGGCCAGGGCAAAAGAAGGCTGCTGGAAACATGACAGCAGTCTCCGAAGAGATGAAAATTTCTCCTGTAGGAGGAGGTGTGGTTTCACTCCATCTAGCTTCACAGGGCAGAACCCAGATCTCTGGGTGGTACCTGCAAGGAGGTAGCTAAGAAGCAAAAGGATGCGGTGACAAGAAGAGTGTCAATTGGACTGTCTTGTCAAGTTAGTGAGTTTCCCTACATACACCACTAATATCCCAATTAGAAAACAATCTAAAATAACATAACAAATACAAAATACCTAGAAATCAACTTTATTTGAAATGTCAGTGATCTGTGTGAAGAAAATGACCACATTTTGTTGAGACATATGGGAAAATTTAATGAAGAAAAGCTTTCCTGGATGGCAAAGTTAAAATTGTAAAGATGTCAATTCTTAATTGTCAAGTCATGTAATTTCAGTAAAAATTCCAATAGAGTCCTTTTAGAATCAGATATAATTATTTTAAAAATTCATCTGGAAGAATAAACGGGAGATGGCACAGAACATTTTGAAGACAGAACTTAATTGGAGGATAGTGAAACATTATATGGCTTAAGCATCAATTTAACAGACTGGCTAGGCAGAACTAGACCCAATTTTATATAAGCATTAAAAAAAGATAAAGGAAGCATTGCAACTTAACTGGAGGAAAAGGCATTGGAATAGTTGGTTAAGAACTTGGGGAAGAAAAAAAAACACCTTAAACAGTACACCTGAATAAATTCTAGGTAAATTAAAGAAATTAAACATTACAACTTAACTGTAGAGAAACTAGAAAGAAATAGAACTGAGGATCAACTCAGAGGAGATTCATTTAGAAATTTAGTATTAAAGGTCATGAAGCTATGGGTCAATTATATCTCAATAAAAAGTAAAGTAAAAATAAAGGTCATGAAGGAAGATATTTCAGTTCATAAAAATGTAAAATTTCTGAATTAAAAAACTAAAGAAGTCCAAAAAGTTAGGAATTCTTAGTGGTACATGTGATAAAGAGGCAACATTTTTGTTGATAAACTCAAACTGATAAAAGTACCTTCTAGACCCCCGGTCAGGATAAGAAGGAAGCGTTCATACAAGAGTTCGTATTCTTTTTT